GAGGGATGGGTAATTTTAATGAAGAGTAATAACACGTATCGACTAAAGAGTCAGTCTTAGATACCAAGGATTATTCACTGCTTAGGCAATCAGCTGCAAGGGTCAGAGAGTAATGCTTTGGGCACACTGGCTCTCTGCCATTGCTGCTGCTGAGTGAGATGCCACTCCAGGTGCACAATTTTGAATATACTTTCTTATTTAAACACTGCCTGGTTCTTTCAGTTCTGCTCCTAGGCTTGCTGCTGATCTTCAGTCTATCTGGTATGAATTCCACTGTACATATCTCACGTTTCCTGTTGCTGAGTGCAACCCCCTGCCCCCAACCTCTCCAAAAAAAAAAAGGGGGGGAGGGGGCTGGCACTTGATTTACTGCTTTTCTCATTTGTTCACCTGGGAGTTGTGCGGGTAACACAGCTCACCCAGATCAGTAGCCAGATTTTATGAAGCTCCATGGATCAGCTTTAAGAAAGGAATAGTGGATAGGGAGATGGCAGATAGCAGCATTCTACATTTCATAGCCTTTCAGAGATTTCAAGGCTAGAAGGGACTATTAGATCATCTAGCCTGACCTGCTAGTTAATAGGCCATTCACCCAGTTACCCCTTTATTGAGCCCAATAACTTGTTTTGACTAAAGCATACCTTCCAGAAAGGCACCCAGTTCTGGATTTGAGGACATCGAAAGATGGAGACTCCACCACTTCTCTCTGTAGTTTGTCACATCTCTCTCTCCCCTCTTCCTTTATTTTCCACCCTCTCAACTTGCTATACACACACACACACACACACACACACACGTGCGCGCGCGCAAAATGGCTTCTATACCACAGCCACTCAACGTTTACCCAGCCTGATGTTCCTAGTGAAGTGGGGAGAAAGGGGAGGGGAGAAGGAGAGCGTGTCACACAATCAAGTATCAAAGCCAAAAAATAACCAATGCCTCAAAATTCATGGAAAAGTGAAATTTCAAGATTTCAAAAAAAGAAATGGGGACCATTTTCTAGTGAAATTCCATAAATAAATTGTTACCACTGTTGTGTGGTTCTAGCCTTATGGTTCCTTGGCATCTAAACTGAAGCGGTTTGTTACACTCCCAAATGGTTGTATCGTAAATGTTTAAATCAAGTAAATGAATTTTTAACATTGCTCCTGACAATGATCTCTTTAAGAATAGCTAGTGCAGGGGGCCTGTAATTAAAATTGCCGGGCATAGCCTTTCAGACATGGGAGAACAGCCAACAGGCAAAGCTAGCACAATAAAGTGCCTTAGAAGAGAAGACAATCTTTAATATGAATGAGATTGGCTACACAAAGCTTGCTTTCCCATATAATGATGCTTCACACATGGAAATAGGTGTAAATGAATCCATTAACATACAGTTAGAGAGCAAATCAATTCATCTCCTTAGTTTAAGAGCGCAGCAAGGGGCTTTTATCTCAAAGTAGTAGGGATGCTGCAGTGCTCTTAAGTACACCACTTCCCTGATGCAGAGTTTCTGAATGGAACCATATATGGCTAATTACACAGAAGAGTTACCAGTCATGGTTTTCATAGAATGCTGAGAATGCTACAGGTTTCACTCTGCAGTTTTCTCTAGCTTCCTTGATGTCCAGCCTAAAGATGCCAAAATGTACCTCAGAATAATAGTAAGAATGGAGTGTTAAATAAAAAACCAATTTAATATAGCTTGGGACTTTAACCTACAAGGGGCCATGCACGCAGGCCCTGATCGAGCAAAGCTCTTAAGAACATGCTTAATTTTAATAATACCTAGCTCTTAGGCTGCACTTTTCATCACTAGATTTCAAAGCGCTTCACAGTCTTTAAGGTATTTAGCCTCACCACACCCCTGGGAGGTAAGACATTGCTGTTATCCCCGTTGTAAAGATGGGGAATGGAAAAGCAGAGAGGCTTGCCCAAGGTCATACAGGAAGTCTGTGGCAGAGCAGGGATCTGCACCCAGATCACCAGTTAGCAACCTGACCACTGGACCAGCCATCCTCTAAGAGTGTGAGTAGTCCAGCTTGTTGCTTGAGTGCTTTGCTGTATCCAGGGACAAGTACACAGTAATTTTCAGGCTCAAGCCTTTTGGCATACACTCCTGAAACACTGGTGTGCAACAAAGAAACAAACAAGTTCAAGATATTAACCGTTAACATCTGTGAGCCAGTTCCTTATCTGATTTACAGCATAGTAAATTTGGAGTCATTTCACTGATGTGAAGTAACTCTGGATTTACATCAGTAAATTCAGGTCAGAATCTTACTGTGTCACTCTATAACTACTCTCAGCTTTCAAAAGGAAAAACCAGCCACAACAATGTGTGATGTTTTTAAATGCAGGAAGTTGAGGGGATGGAGTTCATTACAGCCAGGATAAGGCAAAACACAGGATCTGTGATTATGGGAAAACAACTACACATGTCTGCTTGAACCTTGGTCTCTGCTTATTTTGAATGAGCAAAGGCACAAGTTAAAAACAGCTATTAACCCAGAGGCCTTGATGCTTTAAAATATAACCTTGGTAATCTGTTTGTGGCTAAGGATACAAGCTAAAAAAGCTTTTCTTTGTCAATCAGCTAGCTTCTCTGTGTAAAAAGTAGCTTCAGCCCAAGTCAAAAATACATAGATTCTGAACAGATTTTTTTAAAACAATTATGCTTTACATCAATCATTTTTTATGAATAGAATCACACATATTATGTACACTCACACCCACACAAACACAATTCTTATGTTAATTCTACTTCCAGATACTCAGAGTTAAAATTCTAGCACCAACAGACATGGGATTCAAGCTGAAAAGGGGCTTCAGAAATGGAGTTTGGGGGCGGGGTGTGTGTCAGTCACAATAAAATAGCACCATGGGAACGTCCCAGTCACAGTAAAATTGCCCCCCTCTGGGGTCCCCTGGGTAAGCACCAGCATTGTATATCACTGACGCCTATATAGGCATATGCATGGGAAAGGATTTTGGGAGGGGTTGAAGGTGTGAGTGTGGAGTGAAAGATTCCTTTGCAGGTTGCAAGAGGCCAAAAAGGGAGGAAAGGAGAAAGGAACGGGTTAACTCGATGATACAGCTTGGTCTGAAGATCAGAAGCTGACTCCAGCCGCCCAAGGCCAACACACCCAAGCAGACTCTCTGATGCCAAGAAAGACGGGGCCTGGATTCCAACCCTGATCAGCCACGAGAACAGATCAGTAAACTGAACAAGACTGCAGGGGATTGCAAAAACTAGTGAGAATGCGAAGGTCGGCAAATGGGAACATAACAACCCTGAAGCTGATGTGTTTTGGAGAAGCCAAGGAAGCCTCGGAAGGCCGGTTTGGACTGGTACAAAGAGCAAGGGGGACAAAGGTCCCTGGACAAAACGCCCCCAGAAGAACCCAGGACTTAAAACCCGCCCAAGAGCTGAAGCAAGTCGGAGATCAGACCCTGGACAACCTGTTCACAGGACAGAACTCTCATCCACCTCTCCCACTCTTCTTCTTATGTTACACCCAGGCTTGGCCAGCCTCGGGTCGTGCGTGTGAGTATGAAAGTGAGTTAGGGCTTGAGGCATTAACACTTTTCTCCTTCCTCTGAGTGACGTGGGGAACCCCCAACCCTCCACTGTTATTTTACTTTATTTTATTAATAAAGCTTTGAACTCAGTCACTTGGTGTGCTCCGTCATCTCCTCCCCTAACGATCCTGCGGCCTCAGCCTGATAACCTGACACCTCAGGCAGGTTGGTACCATAAATCTGTCACAGGTGGACAGGATAAATCAAACTTGCTCTGTTAGTGTAGCAAGTACAAGGTAACACTGGACACTGCAATGCTTCCAGCAGGAATCCAGGAATTGAAGTGATTTCACATGTTTACAGCAGCTCATTTTTTCATTCAAATTCAGTTACTGGAATTATTTATTTCTGTGGCATGTTACAGTGGTCAGTGCTGGTATCATGACCTGCACAGAGTGAAGAATTTCACTACCATGCCTGTGAAATGTTTGCGAGCAAACTGTGAAAAAGTCTCATATTTATTCTAAATCATCTTTCAAATATTTCTTTGCAAAATATTCTTTCCGCACCGTATGGTAAATCTGCCCCTTCCTCCCTGGCCACACAGATCCCTTGGTCAGCGAGACAGATTCGACTGAGCTGTTCATGTGATAGGGCACTCAGATGAGGCTCAGATCACCATCATGCACAGGAGCAGATGGGGGATGAGACATGGAAGGACTAAATGAGGGTCATGAGGGAAAACAGACTCCATGGCTGTGCAGGTGCAGCTGCTGTAGAGGGGCTGCACAATATCCCATGAAGGCTACTTCATACACTGAGCTGAAGAACCCTATATAGAGCAGCTCCATGGTTTGAGATTAAGGGTTTCTCTGCTCCCAGCCTCTTCAACATTTGCCCAGTGCCCACTTCAGTAACTCAGGCTGTGCACTGGGCTCTGGATTTGGCCCTATGTGACCATCTTGCAGTCTGTTGTGGCTATTTAAAATGCATCAGTTAACTAAATCATGTACTGCTAGTCAGTCTGATTGTGTGCCTTTGGGTTCAATGCAAAGTCCAGTGAAATCAGTGGGAGTCTGTCCTTTGATTTCAATGGACTTTGGATCATACTTGCAAGTAACCAAGCCGCACAGCATGCATTATCAGTGTTACCTGTTCCATTCAGATACACAGTTTAGAATTCACTAACTCAGATACAAAAAACAAAGTTCTAATCTGTGACTGTTCATTGGAAAGTAAACAGGAAAAGGCTCTGAACACAGAGGAATCAAATTCAAGTTTGTGGATATCATCTCCCTCCCCCTCACCCCCCAACCCCGCAACTATTTCACCTCTAGGTTGTGAAGTATGTAACAAATACTTGAAATATATATTTTATATATGGATATTCCACATATATATTAACATGTACAAAAGCAACATTACTGGAAAATGCTCAAACCCCCATAAAGAATGGCCAAATACATAAAGCCAGAGATATTCCAGTTACACAGAGATTCCCAGATTATCCTGCTTTTCTCCATCATCCCCATCCCCTCTGTTCATTTGAGCCTCACTGTAAGCTTGGCTAGCTAGAAACCAAAGTTCACTTAGTCTTCACATCCTGCAGAGACAGCTTAGGGCAGAATGTGCATGGAACTCCTGATGGCATGACAGCTAAGATGCATAGCTCCCAGACCCAGGAATGCCAGCCAATTCCTTAAGAAGATGAAGTAACAGACCAGAGTACAGCTTCAAAAATCACACGCAATATCCTATTCAGAACCTCAGAACAGGGTTTCAGCTGAGAAGGTAAGCAGTGATTCCAATGTCAGCTTGAGCTGTATGCACGCAAATAGTTACAGTGCACAGCAGACTATGACAGAGATCAATTAATAGTTAACACACAGGAAGTTGGCTGGCCTTGTGCGGGCATTTACAGCTGTATCACAACTTCACTGTTACCAGTAGCAGCAATCTCATTTGGAATCTTCATGCTATCAAAGAATTTCGTAAAATAAATAAATAAGCAAGCCTATAAAATTGCACCCACAATTACTTCTACAGCTAACCTACTTTTTAAAAGAAGCTGCTGTAGTTCAATCTGGAGAAAGCGAAGTGGCAGTGGAAAGGAGAAGGGATTTGTTTCAATCATATGCATTTCTGTGCATGTGCAGAGAACACAGCTACAAGCACCTAGAAGAATGAAAAATGGTGTTGGTAGTTACTGAACAGACTCACAAGCTGCTCAAAGCCAGGGAAGAAGCTACCTTTAAGAGTATGCCTCTCTGTATGTCTCTCACAATTTCATCCCAGGATCTGAGCTAACCAGAATTCATATATATAAGATCTGAGGGGAGTTTTTATTGGATTCAGCCAGATGGCAAAAGATGGAAGGCTAAGACACCTTGGCTGAGTCTGAAACATGTTGGAATCCAGCAAGATTTTCTATTTGACCAGTTAAATCAATACCCCAGTCCTGCAACTGACTGTGTGTGGACCCACTCTAGCACTCATGCATAGCCCCATTGCCTACAATGAGGGTCCCCAAGAGGTGTGCCTGTACAGTCAGTTGTAGGATCAGGGCTTAAGGACAGTGAATCAACTATTAAAAGAGGAGTGAGAGGTGCTAGCTAGAAGGATCTGCAGACTCAGCATGGAAGCAGTGTTTGGATGTGGAGAGAGAGATCTGTGGAGTTTTCATTCCAATTTGGAAGAATTCAACTGAGACACACACACAAAATTGAAAACCCCAAGTGGTCAAAAACCATGAGGCAGGCCCCCAAAAGTTCCTGGCATTGGCTTAAATATTGTAATTTTTTTAAATGGTATTATTTTTATTTACCTGGTGTTTTGAGTGCTTTGGGGACACCTAAGTCACATTTTCAACCTTTTGTCCACAACTAAGAGAGCTAGAATTTTGCCTTTTAAAATGATATATATTACTCCTGGGGGAATTCTGTGTCACTGCGTGTGCACAGAATTCATGTCTCCCGCAGATTTTTTTGCTGCCCCACAGAAAAATTATTTCTGACTGGGAAGCAAAGGGAAGCTGCAAGAGTGTTCATGTGCCCCTCCCTGGCAGCATAGGAAGGTTGGTTTGGGCGCCTGGAGCAGCTGGTAGAAATGTAAGTCACTGCTGGGGAGGAGGGGTGGGCAGTCGTACGTGTGAGAGAGTGACACTTGGTCCTTCTTGCTCGCTGTTGTGGCACGCTTGGCATGGAGGGGCAGGGATCGGGGTGTTTCTGAGGAGGTAGGAGAGGGGCAGGCTCTGTCTTCTCGGACAGAAGAGAATGTATACTCCTGGGGGAATTCTGCACCACCACACAGTGGAGAATTTTGCAGAAATTAACGTTTGCGCAGAATTTCCTTTCCCCCACAGAAATGGACTGCAGTGCTGCTAGCTGCCACTAGGGACCACTGGACCCATCAGAGCTCAGCTTGCATATAGAAGACACTGCCTGGGGGAGGCAGAGGGAGCTAGAGGGTTCCTGGCAGCTGCAGTTCCCAGCATGTCCTGAGGGAAAAAGAACGTGGTGTGCAGGAAACTCCATGCAAGGCTGGGACCAAGCATTCGGTTGTTTCTCCCTCTGGATCCCTGGTCTCTGAGGGGGAGGGGTTGTGGGTGTCTGGCTCCTAGCTGGGCTTGGGGCAGGGAAACAGGAACTGGATTGTCATAGGGGTTTCTTTAACTCTCTACTCCTGCAGGAATGTGTGTGTGTGTGTATTGTTACAGACGTACTTGCTGACAGGTATTTTGAAATAAATTACCAAAATAATTGAAACTGGCGTGATTATGTAGTGTTATTTTGACAAATGAAATTTGCAGAATTTTAAAATATTGTGTGTGCAACATTTTTAATTTTTTGGTGCAGAATGCCCCCAGGAGTAATAATACACACACACACACACACACACACAAAGGCAAGATGAGCTTTTTACCTAATCACAGAATTCCAAGTGCTGTAAGGAAAAATAAACCCACACCAAATATCATGAGATTCATGATAAAATCGCAAGAATTGGCAACACTGCACACAAGACATTTAGGGCCGGTCTGTAGATTAAGAAATCACCTTTGAATTTCAGAGAAGAAAGAATGTGTGCACAAAAGGAGTGCAAATGTTGTGGTGAACCTCTAAATTTGATGCAAATATTACATATGTACAGTAAGGAGAGTCTTTCTGTGAAAACCCGTATATGAAGGATACGCAGGAAATTTAACCTAATAGATTTTGTTTAAAATATTACTTAAGATATTTCAAGTACTATTCGAAGGTTAGCAGCATTCCAGTTCTGGAAACTAATGTTAAAGGAATGTAAAGGAAACCCCTATGGATCTGTATAGTCAGGCAACACCATTTTAAGCATTACCATAGAATATATGAGATAGCCACAAGACTTGAGAGTTGGACTTCTGCCATCAGATGTACATTCATAATGTAAAGCTTCTGCAGCTACCTTTATATACATAAAGTGAGGGTTTCCAAAGTTTAGAGAGCAACGGAAGGCAGTGAAACTGAGGTTAAGTTTGGTATTAAAGTGGATACCTAGATACAACTCCTAACTTAGCACTTGGCCAAACCAAAATCTCAGAGCCAAACGGTTCTGAACTTTATATGGAGCTAAATATTGTGGTGCAGACCTATGTCCCATTGCTACTATAAGTGACCGTACTCCCCACTATTCCCCTGCACAGCTCTACCAGAGTTAGGAACAGTCTAATCCTAACTAATCACATATGGCTCAAGTCATTCCCTTTATTCCAATGTAAACTGAAGATTCTACAAATTATTATTCTCTACAGCCCCTCCCCCAGCCTTTAAAAAAAAGATATAAATATTAAGTCTTCCAGCTTTAGGATTAGGATATATGAATAAACAATCCATATAACTCTGTAGTCTTGCCATTTGTTTTGTAGGCTTCATGTTAGTTTATCCTTGTCAGCAGCCAGCTCTCTTCCAAATATAACTTCTTCGCTATTCTTTCAAATGGCTATAAATTGTAAAGCCAAGTATCTAGTTGCAACTTTGTGTGTAGCAAATGCAGCTCCATAGCTACACTAATTTAAATAGAGCTATGCTGATTTAGACAAACTGAAATTATCGCTTAGTTAACATTTGTGACTTAATCTTTGGTTTATTTTTCTTATGATCATTATTGTTATTTTGTAAGAAGTGCCATATTAACAATAATTCATGGTGTGCAATGTTGTTGTAGCTGTGTTGGTCTCAGGATATCAGAGAGACAAGGTGGGTGAGGTCATATCTTTTATTGGACCATCTTCTGTCGGTGAGAGAGACAAGCTCTGTGTAAGATTGAAAGCTTGTCTCTCTCACCAACAGAAACTGGTCCAGTAAAAGATATTGCCTCAGTAATGTACGGTGTCATTGAAAGGTGTGCAGCTATAGTTTTGATATTATTTTGGATTAAAATGTACCATTATAATAAACCCCTTGTGTAATATAAGCATAACAGTAAAAACAAAGGGCCTGATTCTGTTGTTCTGCACTTTGTGAAATCATGTATACCCATGTGAAGAGAAAGAAAAGTGGGCGTAGTGATCTAGTAGTGTTTCACACCCACTCGCAATTCACTTTACACTGGTGTGCACAACACCACAAGGTGCAATGCAATGGGGTGCTCAAAAATCTTTACATCTTTTCAGAAACATCCCCTCAGTGCCAATTTCCTCAAGAATAGTCTGATCAGTCACTCCTTACCAACTAAAAGAGGGTTTCATCTGATCCACTCTGGACTATAACTGGGCTTCTTGTAGTTGTCAACATTCCTGAGCTGGGGTAACTTGTTGACATTCAAAAAAAGACTCAGATCTAGAAGAGGGTGTAACCCAGAAAAAAAAATCATTTACCAGCTAACACTAACTTGTTTACCAAAAGAAAATGGCAAGATCGGATACTTCCTGCCCAATCTCGCTCTCTATATATTCAGTCTGAAACACAGTTCCCGTGATATGTGTTGATCTCCTCTTTTCTCTTTGGTTTGCCCCACAAAGCAAATATTTTTGTACAGCACATAGTTGCAGGCTTCTGAAAACAGATGGTAATGTTAAAAGATCCCATACAGGCCATTCAAAAAGCACTCCTTCCCACTTTTCCCCCCACCCATCCACACTCTTCCATTAAAAGATAGAGTTTCTCAGCTTCTCAAAACATATAGGCCCTATCCTGTTTCCACTGAACTGGATGCTCAAACATCCCATCAATTTCAAGGGAGCTGGATCAGACCCACAATGATTTCCTTTGTCTGAAGACATTTAAAACACATCTATGTTTTCAAAAGCAGTTATGGCTTTAGCTGAGACCCTCAGAAAAAAAATGGACGATATTAATTGTGCTTGCTTTGCATGTTGACCATGTGGCCCTGTGAAAATCTGCACTGTGGTGGTGGTGTTGGCTTGCGTACGGTCTCACACTGGATTATATTTTGTATTGGCTTGTTTGGTTTCATTTTTATTAATATTATTATTGTCTTGCTGGAAATCAACTATTCATTTGATTCATGTCTACACCTGAAAGGACTATGATTATGATGCAAACTATCACATACTTTACTTAAACATTAGACAAACGGAGGACGGTATATCTTCACCCTCCTATTGTACATGCCCAATTAATTGCATCATGCACTCCAGTACAACGGGAATACTTCCTATGTGGTTTCTGTTAAATACCTTTGTGACAGTTTCTTGGCAAGAACTGAGGCAGAGAGGTTAACATATGTTAAGAATATGTACAGCAGGCATTCCTCGTTAGAATGTAAGTAAATAGGAAACATCGCAGCAGTAGCAT